TTGATAAGCAATCTGGAGTACAGTGATCGTGGTCAGTACCATTGCATGGCAGAGAATCGAGATGGTGTAAACTTCACTCTTGGTGGTATGGTCCAGGGTTCTCCAGCCACACTGCTTGTGTACGGTGAGTAATGCCTTGTCAGTCTTGATACGGCCCTGGCCGATCCCAAGACGCCTAGATATTTTGACCTTGTTATGTCTCCTAATCTGGCGGTGCTCAAAGTCATCAGCCTAACCGATCCTTCCAACAAACAGCTAATCATTTAGAATCCTGACTCAAAATATGAAAGTCAGTAAAGCAAGACCGACTATACTGTTGTGGTCACACACAGCAGATCAACAATAGCTGGCTACGTGCTCATACCAGTTGAGGTTTCATACAATACCCGACTTTTCAAAAGAACCCAAATTTTATTGATTGGCATACGTTTTCCCGAATCGCTCTCTGGGGGTTAGGTGCAATGGAAAGCGGCGCACGAACCTTTGGCGCTTGGTTTGCCATTGTAAATGGCACGGTGTGGACTTCACTATTGGTGGGCCAGTCCAGGTTTCTGCAGCCACGCAAATTGATTTGAAAAGACTGAAAATGCGCATGGGTAGCCTGCTTCTCATTTCATGAAGTTTTTCTCAACTCATCACGTCCAGAAAATTTGTTTCCCTTTTCTCAAATTGTCCTGATTGTTCACAGTTCAACCTCGTATCACCAGTGAACCCAGTGATATAGTCTTGAATGAAGGGATATCTTCAGCACTGCGCTGCACGTCATATGGATATCCTATGCCAGTAATACAATGGTTACATGGCGGTGTACAACTCCCGGCTCTGCGGAGCATCACAGCAATAACAACGGCTGGCAATGACACTGTCCCTGCATCCTACACCAGCACACTGACGGTCTTGAATATCATGTATGGAGATCGTGGCCAGTACACCTGTGTCAGTAGGGTGGACAAGACTGGATTTGCTGATACCAGTCAATTGCAAGGCTCAGTCACTGCTTCAGCTACAGTCAAAGTCTACAGTAAGTTATACTTATTCTGATTCTATGACATATATGCAAAGATAAATAAATGTAACCGCAATCAATGATACAAGCTAAATCGACAGTTGCATACATTTTATTCATGCAATGTAAAACTGTGGAGACAATGTGCAATAAAACGATGAAAATGTGAAGAAATGGTGCAGAGAAAATAAGGATTCAAAACAAGTTTTCGTACAACACTCATCAGGAATCTTCGTTGTACTAAAGAACACTGAAAACAAAACTGAGCTATTATGGAAAATCTAAGTTAGAGAATTAACACTAAGAACAACAGCAGTGAAATTTAGTGTGAATTTCAACAATGAAAGCGAGAGCAATAACGAATGCGTGTACTAACAATAAACTTGCAACTGAAAAATGAACAAAGAAGAGGAAGAAAGAAGGAAGGGCAAAGTGATAACAAATAACAGCAGTACATTCCACGTAGAACATTACCGGCCAAGCTTGGCCGCACCAAACATGATACGTTACTTGAACAATTTCATCACAATTATACTATCTTTCTGTACACACAAATTAGGCTTATACAGACGCTGATAGATGGCTTCCAAAACTGTTAACCGTAGTCCATAACCATGACGACCACGGTACAATACAGTGAAAGAAGAGGCGGAATGCGAATTGGAACAATCAGGACTAGCCAGCAGATAATTGTACAATGAAGACTTGCTACCACGAAACCTACGTACAACACTAACATTCTCACCGGCACTCTCACGATCACTACCATCGTCGCTCTCCGACTGATTGCTCCCATCACCGTCCGGTCCATCATCCGCTTCCTCTGCGCTCTCTGTGTTATCCAGCCTGACTTGGTCCATTGAATGGGACTCGGCCGCCACCCTGCTGTCACGTCCCTTCTTGCGCCCTTGTCCATTGAGTGCGTAGCTTCTGTTGTAGTTGGCTGTTGATCGTCTTGGTCTTTCAGTAGTGGTCATTTTCATCGTTTTATTGCACATTGTGTCCACAGTTTTACATTGCATGAATAAAGTAAACACAAATGTCGATTCAGCTTGTATTATTGATTGCGCTTATCAAATTGTTGTCTCCGTCTCCTTGCCGTTTGTTAAAATAGATATAGTTCAAAATTTAACTCGGATGGTGAGCCAATTAAAGTATTGTGAAAAGAAGGACATAGTTCAGCACTCGGTTTGGATTCTGCCGGAGGCAGAGATTTCCACCTCCGTAGAAATGGCACCACCCCCAAGGTTCAAGGCATAGATGCAGCTCCAAAAGGGCACCCACCAAATTGGTCAAAGACGGAAAATCCCATTCGCTGCAACCATGTTTCCCTCCTGCTCGGCAATTTACCGTGGGTGGCTGCACGATTGGAAAACATCTTTCCGCTTTCAAGCAGGACTTGACCCTGGTGCCCTCTGTTTCTCAATCATACTCTTCGACCACTATGCCAGTAAAATTGGGGATATATTCTGTATGTGAAAGGTAAATTCGCTTTTGTTGCAGTACTAGTTGCCATTTGAGTGGAAAATGAAGAAAAAAAGCTTACCAGTATTTGGTCAATTTGAAGCAATATTTAGGTTCGCTGCATAGTTTGACTAAATGACCAAGATGACGGGAAAGTTAGCCGCAGTAAAGCAAATAACACTTTCACTACGGGCTTAGATTACTTCACACACACACTAATAAAGTTGTCACTTAGACTATTCCCACCAGTACGTCCCGGGGAACAGTATTTTAAAGCGTTGCCTATACATCCGCGCCCCTCCCGACCCCGACCTTTCCCCCTATGAACTTGAATTATATAGACTTGTGTACGATTCAAACTCAGCTATAGAGTGCGTTGATCCGATTTCTCTTGTCTCACATAGCCCTACCAGTTCCAGATCCAGCATATGAACGTCAGACTGGTCTCAAGGATTTACCTGTTCACCTCACTGTTGGCTATTCGTCGCCAGGTGTTCCACCAGTGCCTTCAGACAACATTACCTGGAGCAAGGTACACGCAAGTGAATATCTCAAAATCCGCACAATATAGTTTCCAGACTGTCTACACTGAATAACTATTACACAGCAAAATAGTTTAACCTTTCTGCTCCTACCCGGTTTTAGAAGTGTTTTTCATGTAGCTGCATTGTGAAATCTATTGACATCCTACAAAGAACATGATGTTTGCAAATTTGAACACGAATCTTGAATATCCATTAATTTTGGCAAGTGGAATGAACCTTGTAGTGTACATGTACATGTACAGTCAACTTGGCTAACAACGACTGCGGATATAACGACAATTCGCGAATAACGACAGAGTATCCATGCCCAGAGCACAGTCCATTCTAACTGAATACATATCATAAGACTTCGGGTATAACGACACTTCGCGAATAACGACACTTTTCTGATGCCCGCCGAGTGTCAGTTGACTGTATATTGAATGAGGTCAACAAGCAGCATACAGAAACCCTGGTATAAAAACACGGTTCAGCGCTCCAGTGAATTTCATAAGCGTTAGCAGCAAACAATGACAATGTGCACTATGGTATCATTTCACCCATACGCCATGGAGTGGCGAACCAGAGGCAGTGTGTATGTAGAAGCACCCAAGCTAAAAATTAGTTCAAGTCACTTACTGAGTACTGCGTAAATGTTGATTGGCAATATTGTTTTTAAATCAAACAATTAATTTGGGACGATCTGTTGTGCTTTTATTAGACTGGAGATCCATTCTGGAGTGGATTTTCATCTGGGTATTCACTTTCCACTGACAACCTGACAATGACCATAGCCAGCATGCAATACTACAAAGCAGGCACGTACAATGTGTTACTTGGAAACTTGGCTGGACAAGTCAATGTCACATTCAATCTGGGATACGCAGGTGAGAGAAAATTCTTGTTTCAACCAAATTATTGGGTAGAAGATGAAGTTGAAAATGTTCTCTTGATTGTTGCGCTTGACTAAGAGTAAACATCTAATAGAAGGATGTAAGGATACGCTTAATCAGTGACATGTCTGTATGACTGTACGAAAGAAATGGTCGAACAGCAGATGGAATTTTGAAAACTGAATTTGAGGGTTTACAGGTTTGCGGGTTGCAAAGGCTCGTTACACGCATCTTGTAATTGAATACACCCTCAGATAGGTTAGTGAATATGCAATACAAGAGTGTGCAGTTTGTCCATGAGTGACTGGAAGTAAAACAAACATTCAAGCGAATCATCATTGATACTTCGCTCCATTTAACAATTCTTTTGTGAACAGAACGCCCGGAAATCCTTGTAGCACCTCAATCAATTCGTGTCAATGAGTATTCAAAGGTAAATCTCGAATGCATCGGAACCGGTCTGCCAAGACCGTCTATTCACTGGCTGCACAATGGTACGAAGCTCCCGTCATCACTGCAATCTCAGACAGATTATACTAACGCTGACCTCGGCAGGAGAGGCAGTTTTGGTGTCAAGAACACATTGGCACTTCTGTCTGTGAGTAATGATAAGAACCAGGGACAGTACGATTGTGTCGTGGAGAATGTATATTCACCATCCGCCAACGCATCAGCAGATATCCTGGCATATGGTAAGCAGTGTAGAGAGATATTTGATCAGAGATATATTGGTATGTTGGGTCTATGGTGGCACTCACTTTGTTTGGCCTCGGATATTACATACGCTGGAATAGTACAGTGCACTGTTGAGGTCATAGGACGATATCTGTATCGCTACACATGTTGAAGTTAATTTTGTTCAGATATAAGTTGGGCTCTGCACATGTCACCCTAGTATATTTTTCGGATCTGAAGAGATGTATTTGTGTGCTGTGCAAAAAAGCTTTCTCAAGAGATTCTAATGACAACCCGTGTTCCCAAGTTTGTGCCTTAACTTCATGCTATTAAATACAATTATGATGCCATTGGCACCTGACTCGCGTTTTCACATATCTGGCATCAGATTGGAGGCCCATCAACCCTTTTGCGCTGCTTCTGTCGTTTTGGGTGCAGTCCCACCAAAGGTGCTTAAGCCAACATTGGATCAGGCAGTATTGGCAGGACAGACGGTTGAATTCACGTGCAATGTGTATGGTATACCTAAACCAAGCGTAACCTGGTTTGCTAATGGGCTGGTGAGTCCTATACAGTCAGTATCGCCTATAGCGTTGGTGTTTGATTTTGAGCATTTTATCACTATAAGCGATATACTTCCTCCGCGTCATCGAAATTGTCGCAGTTTGACTTTTGATGTAAAATGCGGTATTTACTCACCAGCACTCGTACCAGAGGCAAGGGATCGGACATAGGCGATAATCATCAGTATAGGGTGACGGCAAAGTTCTATTTTCTGTTATTGGAAGCTGGAATTTTTGAACTAGACGCAATTTCTTCGCTGATGTCGCTGCGCTGGTAATTTCGACTCGCTGAGATCAGTCAGGTGTTGCAGCCTGCACATTTCTCGTGCTTATGGCCATTCACTCAAGCCTCATCACTGTTTTACCTTAGCTGGGGTGAGAATGACTTCGTGGAACAAGTGGCAGCGCTTGGAGAAACATCGAGGGGTCGGCAAACTAAATGCCTGCAACAGCGATAAAATTTGTCGCTCTGGCTGAGACACTCAGTAGATCTACATGATTGTACATGCAAGAGCCGTGTAGACTCTACACGTAGTGCTAGTGATGCACGCGCAGGTATACCAGTGCTGAAAAAGAGGGCGCGCTGGACGTGATACTACACTTACCTGCATGAGCTGTGGGCATGCCACGGCTAAAAAAAGTTCATTATTTTCAAGATCGAGGTGATTCCGAGGTGATTCCGCCGACGGTAATCAACCGACCTCGCAACGATCGTGTATTCTTACTAGGCTTCGTTGGTGGTGAAGTAGAAATCATCCAGAGCTAGCAGACGACAAGCATAGCAGCTCTTGTCCTGTGGAGAAAGTCAAAGCGTTTGAGATGAGGCGCGACCAACTTTCAACCTTCCTTGAAATATTTGGGAACGATATTTTTGCGTCCATTGACATCAGCGACGACGAGGACTTCATCTCTGCATGAAAACTCTCAGTCCAATTGTCCTAGAACGTTACTCTAGTCTTCAGACTATCATACTGTGTAATAAGTTTCGAATGGCTTAGTTTATGGAGTTGTCAGTAACAAGTGACAAGTCACTAGTCAAACTGCGACAATTTCGATGACGCGGAGGAAGTATTACTATGACCGATACTGCATGCAATTATGTATGCGAGTGGGGTGTCAAACGACTCAGCGCGTCGTGCACATACGCACTACATACATGTACAATGTCATGTAGCTGGCTGTAGCTCCTGACACAGAAAGTCAGCATTTCCTCACGATGGAGGCATATTTTGGCAACTTGTGCGAGCAAAACTCACCAAACAACACTCACTGGACAAGTTCTTCACGAAGAAGTAACACCCTGTTCTCCTCTAACATCGCTTGATTTTACATCAATCACTATAACCGATGCAAACATAATGGAATAAAGGTCTTTTGAAATAAGAATTTGATCACTATAGGCGATATATTACTATAGACGATTATTACTATACGCGATAACTGTGTATACTTAATTATGGCAAATGAAAATGAATTTGAGAAATTGATCACTATATCCGGTATATTACTATAGCCTCCAACCTTATAAGCGATACGGACTGTACTTTCAATCTTGTCATAAACTATAAAAGGATGTCTAGTGAAATGTCGTAACAAAGCCTTTGATCCCCGAGCTGCATAGAGGGCTCAATGTCAGAGACAGAGCTTAGTACGTAGCAGACTCAGGGGAGTGAAGTGTCGTATATAATTATAATTATAATGATTCTTGACTCTTGAGTACTAACCAATACATTCCTCAGCCATTATTTTCTGTAAAATTAGGAATCATTTTCATCAGTATTACTGTAGCTCACTTCAGAAGTTTCTGAATCTTTCCATTAGTATTCTCTACATTCAAAATGTTGATTGGTCACAGGAGTACACGATCAAACACATGCCCACAAATGCACACGAATGGCTACAAAAGAGCGCAAATTAGCACCAGGCTACGCAACAGATGATAATTATTATGAGAATGAGGGATTAAAAAAATTCTGAAATTTAATTCCTGACACTCCTCGCTTGGCCTTAAGAAATTGTAGTACTCGGTAGAGTCTTTCTTGTGCTAAGAAGTCCATTAATATCTATTCCATTCCTTGTGCGTAGAACTTAGAATTGTAAGGTGTACGTGTAAGTGAAGTGATATTCCGTTGCATACCTGTTCTCGCAGATTCTACAGAAGGATGACCTTGTTGGACGCGTCTCTTTCCACAAAGGTGATCACATCTTGACAATCTACACAACAGAAGTTACAGACCCTGACACTTATCAGTGTGAAGCCAGTAACAAAGATCAGTATGCTGGTGGAGTGGTCACAGCCAATCAGGTGAAGTTGAATGTCAAAGGTAAGATTATAACTCATGCTCCTGTTCACATTGAACATTCGTTTCTGGGACATCAAGTTGTAATTTAGGCTCCATGATCTGACAATGGTGTGAGAAATTTTAACAATCAAGGTCTGTATGAAAAACTATTTTATTTTACATATTCAGATATTTAGGGAAATGTGTGTTGCTCCCTACATGGGAGTTCGTGGTTTTCCTGCCGATTTGAATTCTCACTTGACTGACTCACGACTGCCATCCAGAGCAGACGATAAGTCCTTCGAACCGTCCACTCGGCAAACATGCAAGAAAGCACCGCTCCCTGCTCAATGCACAGTGTTTTGGGGAATTCACCCCTCATCAGTTGGGCTTGAGTAGGCTGAGGAAGATGGTACCTGAAGAGCACCACTTATATAGTGCTCTCCAGGCACAAACATCACCAGAGATACAAACTTACAGAGACGCTCCGTTTCTAGCGCGACAAACACCTCGTGAATACCAGGTAGCAGCGTGAGTCAGTGTCGCTCAACCGTCGGCACACACTTTCCCAACTATCGCCGAAGTCGCACCAACCTCTTCTTCATAATCAGATATTGGATTAATCATTTTTTTCACTTCTGGTAGGGTCCAAGAAACTTACCGTGGTTTGTCCCCTGGGGGAGGGGGAAAGACCGAAGTGCCATCAGTGTGTGTGGCACGTGTTGTGGGCTTCCTTTGGAGTGAAAATCTTGTCAGCCCCTTATAGGTTCAGTCTGGTCCCATAGCTCAGTAGTTAACGCATTGCTCATGATAAGCAAGGTCCCGGGTTCGAGTCCTGGTGGGTCTGGCAATTTTCTCTCTTTTCAGGCAGTTCACTTCCTCGACTGATCCTTTGAATTATTATTATTAATGGCAATTTATGTCCCTTCTTTTCTGAGGTGTTATAACTTTTGGAGAAAAACTGTATCCCTGGATTGATTGAATTCACAGCTGACTCTGTACTTTTCTATTATATCTTCCAAATATACAGTCGCACCTGTTATCAACCCTCCCATACCAAGGACTGTGTTGTCATTTGAAGGTTCATCGCTAACAGTTCCATGTATATACACTGGTCATCCGAAACCAACGCCAAGCTGGTGTAGATTGGATAACAATGGCGACTGCGTTAAGTCTGCGCCGAGCAGTAACTGTCCGGATTTCACGCCAATGGATGATGGCCAGTTCACATATATCCTGGTCATATCAAATCTTCAAAGCTGTCACAGTGGAGGCTACCAATGTTCTGTCAGCAATACAGTAGATAAAGCTATAGGGCAGTTTCAACTGACCGTGCAAGGTACTAAGTTGGCACTTCTTTTGTTGATTAATTTCCAAGTAATTAATTTCTGTCCCACTTGCGATTCATGTTCGCCCATAGTAAAAAAAAAAAAGATTGCAACCATAATACATGTACAAAACGAGGCCTGATACAGAAAAATTCTTCACAACTGTGCCATTGATTGGCTTTGACATTTCCTTTCATGATATCTGCCAATTAACAATCCCTTCTCATTAGGGGTGAAAGTTGGCATGGAGATCCCGAGTTGGAGTACTCTGGTTTTCTCCGATCGAATATTCGAGTATTCGAGTATTCTTCATTTCCTAAAAATTGCACACCGAGGGCCTTAAAATTACATGATACAACCCTGATTGAACCGAGTGCCAGTCATTTTTCTCTGGTATATTGGTTGGTGTGTCATTTGGGCTCTCTCTACTCGTGAACACATGTTCGCCACACAGTCTGCACATCAATATCTGCCGACTGCTGCTCTGAAACTTCAGATTTCTGTTGTAAATGCATGTACCATGTATAACCGAGTACTCTGATCTATTCCGAGTACGATTATTTCTGAAAAAACCGAGCGAGTACTCGAGTATTCGGGATAATTGTTTCACCCCTTTTTCTCATACAACCTCAATAAAATTGAATGATCCACTTGTTTTATTTCCGTCAGGTGTGGCCCGCATTGGCTTGCAGGGCATTTTCACTTTGCCAAGTGGATACCTGGGTGGAACAGAGGACGAAATCAAGGGTCTTTTCAAACCACAGGTAGGGTGTGTTTCGTACAGTGATCTAGGAATACCTGCTACACCTGAAAAAACGACATTATAAAAAGCCAATTTTACCTTGAAGCCAGTGACAAGCCATTGGTTGCAGTTCATTTAGATTTTGCTGAACAGATGGAGCAAATAAATTATTGGTTACAGTAAAAACTCATGTTCGTGTATGAAAGCAAGAAAACCGTGACCATCAAGCTGAGCAGTGGAGTCGGCCAACTAAAGCAAATTTGAAAATTTATCCGATATGCACAATTTAGAACCAAAACTGCCGGAAGTATTGAGGCAGTACATGGAATGAAAATGAGTTTGCTTTCATCCACATACACACTTGGCTTACCATCTGAATTCAAAAGCTATTGTTGTGCTTTTTTTGTCTCTCTCTCCTCACAGATTGTCGACTATATAATTCCGGGAAGACTCGTTAAAATAGTTCATTCCTCATATCAGGCTGTTGGACAGAGGTATGTGTAAATCTTACCGAACTGATTACTAGAACTTGCTGGATGCGGCGAGATTCGATTTGATTACGTTCATCACGTTCCCAGTGACTATTCCGTTGTCCTATGTTATCATAATTATCGAGATTATGACAATTTGACCAAATATCGCCCTCCTCTCTATGAGTTGTTCTCCACAACAGCAGTGTTTTTCATCTAATCCTCTGCATAAAGTTATTTTGCAGGGAGAAGTACAGGGAAGAGACTTGATAGATCTTCCTTGTGGATATGTTTCTGCAGCTCTACTGAAATCATTGTACGGTGCGATATGGCCGCTCCAGCTGGTTACATTGCAGAGATATCGGGCAACAGCAGTGAAGCAAACCTAAATGCCAACTTTACCTCCGCCCTGCAAAACTCAGCATCAACTTTACGCCTAGCGAGAGCATCTAGTCTGAAGGTGTTTTTCTATGGTAAGAATTTGGGGCTGGAAATCAGTCTGCGCAATAGATGTTAGCCCTTCTCTTTTAAAAATAGTGGTTGCGACTTCGGCAATGATTTTTGAGGAATGGTTTTGCTCCCACACTCGAGGTTGCGCTTTTCCGCGAGCGCCATTTGCGCTATTCCGCCGACTTGACACTTGCATAGATAACCCTATAGTATTGGTGCAATTGATAAGGATATCCATGATATCAAGGCGGAGTTTGAAAATTGTTCTTGACTTTAAGATTGGCTCATACCAACGATGGTGAAACATTACGTAACTTAAAAGGAAAGTTTATGCTTGGAATAATATGGCATCTACAGCAGTTTCTGTTTTTGGTGACTTTTCTAAACAGATGTTTGCAGTTCAGAAGAAACTGATGGAGCAAGACGTGGAATGTTTTACTGGACTGAGACTTTTGCGAATGAACTAGAAACACATCTGTGTCCCGTGGAACTGTCTGATGGTATCATCCGCTATGCAACCCGTCGGTGTATACCTACGCCACGCCCACACAACGTATCCTTGGTGATGGCAACATGGCAAAAACCAGATATCACAGACTGTCCAACTCCAGGTACAGCAAAGCTACAAAAACTTGCAAAGGTAAAGGGCAGTTCTGCAGCTCAAGACTGAAGTTTGAGGGCGATAAATGGCTGATAGTGCAAGAAATTATTATTATCTGTATCACTCTCTTAGCAATGAAACCCATTGATTTTTGCTGTACCTAAACGGTCAAATATTCCTGCACATTTCACTCTTCGGACATTTACTGGCTACGTTTATTAGACTCCGGTGTTTGAAGGCATGCTTTGGTTTGTCATTTTGAATGTAACAATGATGACGAGCTGGCTCCATCTAGGAAACAAACTAACCTCGTAAAAAGACTGGGCTTCACCTTGATCCGTTATACGGCTAATCATTCACTATTAGATACCTATTAGGTATCGCCAAGTTGCTTATATTATGTTTCCTGTCACCGCGTGCGTACCTTTTCGACTCATTGACAAGAAGAAGAATAAAAGAACCGAGACGAGTCAACCGATGCCTGTTATGGCGAACATTCTCTAGCCAGTATGGCAGATCAGAGGTTTTCAACTTCTCGATACTCTTGCATTCCAGGCGATGGTGCGAGCTATGAAACTCTCTATTTTTTCCCAGACTTATGGCTGGGCCTGCTCACCTGTACACACAGAATCGGGTTTTGTTTTTTTCCAATGTTTTTTTTCGCCCGCCCGTGTGCCTTTTCCAGGCAATGTCCGACTCCAAACATAGAATTAACTTGGTGTGGCCTAAGTGACACACTCACAAGTTGGCGCTTGCACTCAGGACAATAACTTGATTTTCTCTGTGACGTTTGCCCTGCGATGATGTACATGTCTTATTCTTTTTCATGTTTATCTACAAATGCAGGTTGATTTCAACACCAGTGAACCGCAATCGGTTCTGAGCAGCTCACTGTCTGTCGCTAACTTAACTAACAACAGTGCTGAGCTCACAAGCGATGACATCGATTTTGCCTCGACAGCTATCTTCAATCTGGTCGCGGCTGTCAGTAAGGATGAGGTGTTCAACCAATCCATAGGGCAAAAGGTTAGCATTGTTATACCAATAACTCGCCTGCAAAAGACCTATAATCAACTTGGCGAATCCGAACTTAGAAATTGCGAACTTCGCGAATGTTTCTGCTGCTTCAAGATTGATGCAAATAGCAATCAGCAGGCAGCTGTAGCTGTAGTTCATACCAGACAATCACATGCCTTGGTTGTCCAATGCGTATGTTGTCCCATGCTTATGTTGTCCCATGCTTATGTATCTTGTCCCATTGTTTTGTTTGCCATTTTAACTTCATACAAACTACCGTATGCCTTTTCCGACACATGGGGAAATCTATAGTCGGCAAGTTCATGAATAATATTTTAAAATACAATAATATTCGCGGGATCCGCGTCGGCATCGCTTGAATGTTCAGAAACACACAAACTATCCTTCGCATCCGCAGGCCACCACTATGCCTGTTAACCTTAGTGGCGAATGCAGACCTCACAACCGGAACAAATATTAGAGAGGTTTTGCAGAGCGAACGTTCGCAATGATTGTCGCTCTTCCGGGTTGCGACAACTATTGCGAACGTTCGCGCGAAATTTGTGTTTTGCATGTTTTTCGCTCCAAGACATTTTCGCGTGCAATCGCTTGTTTGAGAAGTGGTCTTCATCCGATTATTTTGTTGTTGCAAGTGGCGGCACCCTGAGTCACGGCCTGAGACGAGAGCTCTTTGACTACGTTGTCCATGGCCGGAGACCCACAGACAAACGGCCCGGGTTGGCTTGTGCCGTAATCTGGCGCATCAACACTTGAGATTCAAAAAGGCATCATTGATGTAACCGACTCTGAGCAGTGAGAAGAAGAGCAGGCAGGAGATCGGAGATGGTTCCGGAGATGAAGCAACACGGGCTGCCACAAGTATGGGAACGCTAGCACTCGCGGACCAAGCCAAGAGTAGAGATCAAGCACAAACTGTGATGATCGAGGGTGGCTCACCGTGCACCAACGGTCCACAAAGAGCGAAAATTGCTGCAAAAGTTTGTTTCGCGTTTCCTGCAACTTTCGCGTTCAAAACTGCGAACGTTCTCGCGAAGTTTCGCTTTTCGTGACGTCAAACGAAAATTCGCACGAACGTTCGCTCTGCAAAACCTCTCTACTGAAAGAACAAAATCTTCCCTTCTGAACGTAGCAAGATGGGTAAAACAGGTCTCTCTCGGTAGTATCGATGTAGATGATTTACGATACCTGGTGTAATTGGTGTAATTTTCACTCATGCACACATCTTTCAATTGTTCTGCTTCTAAGGTTGCTGTGTCAACACTGGACACTGTCGACAACATTCTGCAAGTGAAGACCAATGAAACTGTGGTAGCAGCATCACCAGCAAAGAGGTACTTCATATAATTATTATAGTTCTCTCTCTTTTTATTGTGTCAATAAATCACTGACCGTCAGATAGATCTACTCAAGTATCCCGATCGATTTCTTTGACACATTATTCAATTGGTGCCATTCCTATTTTTGCAAGAAGATCTTTCCCCCTGCTATAGAGAGAGATGTTTATTTTTGTGTGCCTGGTAATGTACATATTGCACATGTATGATTACATTTATAATTTTCCGTCATATTTATCCAGGATTGCAAAGGCAATGGAACGACTTGTGACATCACTGGTTGTAGAGACTGATCAGCCCTTCCAGGAGCAAAAGGAGAATATTGGATTTGCAATCAGCTGCCCAAAGGAGAATGCAACAGACCAAGCATTCCGTTCAGCGGGACAGACCAAAGATGGACGTTTTTATGTTGGAGACGTAGATGTACCCGCTTCCGGTATGTTTTAAGAAGTTTTTTTTATTTTTACAAAGACCACTTAATGCCAAACATGAGATGCAGCTAGGGGAAGCACGCACAACCTGAATCGTGGCAGTGGTGGTGAGGTTTAATTCCCTGAGATTATGACAAATCCTATGGCATGGCACGGATGGACAAATTCCTACCATTTTCCGTGGACTGCTTCTGGTTTAAATGGGTATGGCAAATGGGATTTCGAACTTAGCCTAGATCCCATTCCCCGCATACGTTTAATCATCCAGATCAATTCTTCGGCCTCCATAGCCTTACTCTGCACAATTGTTCTTCTCGTTGTACCCTTCATTTTCTCTGCGCCTACAGCCAGCGCTACTGGTGTCTCATTTGACATAGCTGGAAGCACTGTAGCTGCCGCAACAGAGTTACTATCTCTGGGAAATGACTCACTTTGCAATGTGGCACCAACACGCTACATTTTGTACAAAACTCAAACACTGTTCCGAGATTCCAATCTGAGTGCAAACACATCGGTTCAATCAGAGATTATCAGCGCTCAAGTTGGAGAGGAACGTCTGGAGAATCTTCAGCAGCCAGCAATCATGTCGTTTGATTTATTGGGTTTAACACCTGTTGTAAGTCAATTGAATGTTGCAAGTCTATTGGATTAGTAAATGTTTTTAGGTGATTAAGGTTGATAATCTCCTTGGTGAGTGTTATCCAATCACCTTCCGTTGATGTAGGGACGACATCTGCGCCTTTATCCTTGAGGGTAGTGGTGTTCCTACGGGTGCGGAAAACTAAGCCCCCAGTCGGAGCTCATGCAAATCGTGGTTTTTTACTGGACCAGGCCATAGTGGAAGATTCAATTTTTTCCTCAATTCTGTTTGTTAATTTGAAGAAACTAGGAATACTTCAAATACTCTTTATGATCTGGTGGAACAAACCATCATGACGTCTATCCTGAAGTTTACATTGACATACCCAAGGTAGGCGTAAGTTGTAACTACCATCTTTGGATTGTAGGTTTATCAATGGGAAATCTCCCTTATCCGTTTGTGCTTCTCATTGTAAGGATTCCGCTGGTGAAGCTATATGCGTTTTCTGGGACTTCGACAAAGGTGAGCAGTAGTGCACATTTCCCTTTGAGACAAAAATGCGATAATACTCAGCTAAGGACACACTTCAGGCCCTTTACGAACATCTTGAAAGTTTCGGTTTCACATGTTTACTTTCAAGCCTTTGATCTGCCTTTGCAAACAGAATAAAAGTAGATTCACAATTAAGCTGTTAGGTAGGTCGTCAAAACTCGCTAGGTATGTTTATTGGTTGTTTCTTCTTGTCGCACCACATGTCACGCTTTTTGGGTTTTCTCGCACCTGCACCTCTGTGCCATTATTGCTCTGTGTATAGGTCACGCATTTTGGCAGTATATTTTACTTCAGTAGCTATCTTCTTCTTCGTGCTGTTTTATTACGTCCTTACTGTACTTAATCCACATATCGTGTACCTTTCCCTTTACCTGTATGACACCTGATGACTAGGCTTACACTTGTGAAACCGATAACTTTCAAAGGTGATCGTAAAGAGCCTGAAGTGTGTCCCTTTCTGAGTAGTATGGGAGTGAACATGATTGTTACTAAACCAAAATACTACCTGTGCGTATGTATTGACCCCTGGGCGTGCAATTTTATGTGTTGGGGTTTGTTCTGTAGCAAAAAAAAATGGTAAGCAGTGGCTTTATGCATGTCTCGGCCTGTTGGGTCCGAGAGGGAATGTGATGTAGGAGGGGGAATCACATATTTTAGTGCTGGATAATACCCCTACTAAGACACAGATAGTGGTTATTCATAATGTTATTAGATTGCGTGTACTTCAAAATATGTGCTCAATGATGTCCGTCTTGCAAGTGTGTGCTAGATATCTAGCTGCTTCTCGGAATGTTCTTCTTAGCTAACACAAGAATCAAAGCACTCCGATAGCGATCAAAGTTACGTATACCCACATACCCACATAAATGATAAATAATTCTATGATCATTTTGTTGAGCACACACGCACTTCTGTTCTTCCTGTTTTCTGCTTGTTTTCCTATTTCCTGGCACAGATGATGGCAATGGAGGATGGAGTGACTGGAACTGCACTACTTTCCGTGATGAGACAACGGGGAACAGAACAGTTTGCCAGTGCGGTCACCTCACCAACTTTGCCGTCCTATTTGTAAGAGTTCTGAAGGACTGTTGAAATCTGTTTGCTGCAATTTCTGTGGAAACTATTTTGCTCTGTGCCTTTTCCATATCATTTCGGGATGAATTCCCAGTTTACGATTTCATAACGTTAACTTAACACTTCGATTTGTGCTCGTATAGGGGTTGAAATTCTCAAGCATATTGTATTTTAATTAAATAGACGACGTGGAGTCAATAATAATACATAGGATGAATTCCGCTGTCATCACCACACATCAACGAAGTCATGAAGGTTTTCCAAAATCGATTTTATCGTTACATTCATAAGTGGAATATGATGACCAAAGGTTAAAACTATGATTAAAAATACATTCTATAGTGTGTGCCAAGAACGAAATAAAGTGCTACAGGTAGAAGACAAAAGAGTGATACAGTAAATGTTACACTTAATTAAGCTAAGCATAAAGGGCGTGAAACAATAGACGTGAAGTGAAGTGAGTACTATGAAGTGAGACAAACAGGTGAACTCAACGAACTCACGAAACCAATCTTAGCGCAACCACGTGCTTCTTCTGTTTGCACAGGTCCAGTTTGTACAAACTGATACATAGAGCTTCCAGAACTTTCAAGCGCTTAGAGAAGGGTGCGCGACACACAACAGAAAAACTCAAATCATCAAAAACCTGCAGACACTTATGGTGAGACAACAAATGAAGAAACACAGCAGACTTCTTACTATCACCATCATCATTCAGGGCATCATCTCCATCACCCATGACCTTGTCGTCCGTCTCCATTTCTGGCTCGTCATCCGTGTTATCCATAGTATTCTCCTCCTCCACCATGTCAATCACTTCCATTGTACGTCCTTGTGGATTTGATCGTATACTGTATTTTGTTTAACCATGCCCCTTCAGACTCGTCACATTTCAGCAAAGGACTCCACGGCCGAGGCAGCACTGAAATACATATCCATCATAGGCTGTGGGATATCTATGCTGGGACTTCTCGCAACCCTGGTGCTGATTCTGGCTATACCGTAAGTCGAAACTCGGGTATTGAGCCAGTAATAAAATGGAAGGCTGTCGGTTAGCGCTACGGGGTGTGTTGAAGCTAGGTGGCAGGACGTCGAATGTCTCACTACTCTGTCAGTTTTCTGCATAGTTGTTGCACTTTCTGACTGTATATAGTATCTAGTTACAGTGGTGGAGAGTTACTCTTAACTCATTTCCATATGTCCCTTTTCTTTTCTACAGTAAGTCATAGTCTTATTTCGCATTTTTACGTAATCTTGATTTATGGAGATCTTAAGCCAGAACATAGGTTCCTGGACGCATAAAGATTTCCACACTATTGCACTTTTGGGCGCTAAAGAGACAGAGAGAAATCGAAAGAGAGATACAGAGCAAGATGGAGATAGAAAGAGTGTGATAGAGAAAGATAGCTGGATAACACCTTCTCTCTGCAGCTACGCGAAAATACAGCTCTTGTCAATCCTTGTCACCTGATTCAGGGCAAATAAATAAATAAATTTTACGGTTCGCGTGAGACTCGGCTTCTAGCTGCGTTTTCCGCATCCGCCGTGGGAACGCCACCACCCTCTAGGATCAATGGTGCAGATGCAGCGCCTGGACGGTGGGAGGTGAGTAGATCAGACCCAACACCAAGTGGTTAAAGACCGAAATCCCATTATCTGCATCCATGTTACCCTTGTAACCCTCGTAGGCGAATACCACGTAACCATGCATAGGTAACTAACGCGTTCTCACACAATCCATATCGCTCTGCCTATCAAAAGGGTAATTGTTATGCTGGGCTGGCCACATTTACGGTATAATTCCATTAATCTCAGGCAAGGGTCAGTACAAATGTTCAATTGATGATCGATTCAGTTCATGAAAAACAGAGTTACGAAACCGCAACTGTTCTTCTGTGTGTGTACTCCGCTCCTTGCCTCGACAAATTGAGACCTCTTCAGACCATTAATGAACTTCACATGCCCACAAACACACACACACACATACTCATACACACACAAAAAACACAAAAAACACACAGATACGAGCACACCCCCCCCCCCCTAACACACACGTGATAGATAGATAGATAGATAGATAGATAGATAGGTAGATAGATCGATAGATAGATAGAGAGAGAGAAAGAGAGAGAGAGAGAGAGTGAGAGAGAGAGAGAGTGAGAGAGAGAGTAAGTTACATTTATAAAGACAGGTAAGTCTAACAAATGAGGACTGAGACCTCTACAACAGGGTTTTTACGCCTGAAAGCAGGTGCATGATTTAACAAGCAGGTTGTCAGTCTAGATTTTATGCGCAGATGGAGAACAAAAAGCGCAGAATTTTTGTAATGAGATGAAAAGCAGAAATAATAAGAAGTAATAAGGAAAGATGAAATGAAAGCCTGCTCACAACCCCACCCAGCCTTGCGAACAGGGTATGGTGGATTAAGAACCCGGTTCAACGCTCGAGCAAGCGCTCTCCACTCAAGGTGTTCACAGCAACTGATAGGAACTCATATGGGGAAATTATAGAAAAGAAATAATAAGATAAAGAGAATAAATTTCAACTCACCTCAATAAACGGAGCCCCACATACAGTACCTCAGAAAAGTGGATCTTCCCACCAGTGTTTTTGTTGACGTCGCCACCAGATGATGTAGCTGCTTCGCAGAGACGTCTTACTGCACAAATTACAAATAAATTTTATTCTTCGATTAGAAAACCCAAGCGCTTTCAGAGCCTCCGAAGAGAGCCCAGGATGAAACCACGCACACCTACCTCAACCGAAAAAGAAACGACCTGCCACCCGTTTGCTCGGCATTGATCGGCCAGATCCGCATACCGCCTGTCCTTCCGCGAGTTACTGACATTGAATCTGTCCTCAGCACAAACTGTCAACTCCATCCAGAATACAATCCTACGACTCGTAGAGTACAGAACTATATCTGGTCGTAGGGTGGTAAGTGCAACACAGCTAGGGAAAGAAATCTTTGCACTAACTGAGTCGACAAGAAGTTTCCAGTCTGAGGCCGCTGACAGGAGATCAGTCGTAACCAACTTTCGTCTGGGCTGAACACGAACTGGCTTCTCTCCCGCCTTGCAAAACGAGATGAAGTCAAGCTCATTTGAATTTTCGGTTTGTACGGAGAGAGAGAGAGAGGGAGGGAGAGAGAGAGAGAGAGAGAGAAGGAGAGAAAGAGAGAGAGAGAGAGAGAGAGAGAGAGAGAGAGAGAGAGAGGTTAGGGAGAGAAATAGAGGGCCGACAGCCGTGATGAGAAATATAATAACATAGTCAAACATATGTTTAACTTCAATTCACGACTCTCACATTATTTCTCCTCTTTTTTCAGGACACTTCGTGACAGTGTCCATCATCGGATGATATTTGGACTTTGTTCAACTCTTCTACTCTTCCTGGCCATATTCACCGTCGTTCTATACTATGAACATTTGGCCAAGAGTACTGCTGTGTGCCAGGGCCTGGCAATGGCCATGCACTATCTTCTTCTGTGCGCGTTCATGTGGATGTCGGTGGATGCCACGATGCTCTACAAGAGTGTAGTGATAGTGTTTCACCAGCCCGGCCGTTTGCAACAAAGACTTCTATGCATATCTGTTTTTGGTGAGTAGCGCGCAGATCGTGTTTTAAATATCTCCTGATCATGTTCCTGATATAATGAACACCAATGTGTTTATCATATCTCTTGTGTATTCCATGTCAATTTACACTCCACTAGATCAGTATTTGTCTTGCAAGTCCGTCAAATTCTAATCTTATCCATTGCCTTTTCCATTCACTTTTCTCCTAACTTGCAGCGAATATTGTGTTGTTCATATCCCTGGCGACTCAGATAAATCATCATTTCCAAGGCAGCTACCTAAGAATCTAAGCCTAGATTCTACCTCTACCCCTTCTGTTTCTCATAACTTGCAGTGATTCCGCTGGTTATCGTTGGAGTTGCAGGCGGTGTTACCAGACTGGATATGTACGGAAGTGACAACTTGTAAGTCAGACTGTAGTTCCCGTATGCATTGATTCGTTACATATCTCCCCAAACCCTTTCAGTGGGTATGATGTCATCTCATGATTGTGAAGGGGACATTTTTGGACGAAAATGTATTTAAAAAATTCAAAAGAAACATAAAAAATAGCTTCTCTTTTGCTGAGGGGGGGGGGGGGGTTGGGGGATTGGGGAGTTGTGGTGGTTGTGGGGGTGAGGTAGCATTTTCGAATTTGCTACGACACCTAATGATCGCTAGCATGTGACTGGCCAGTACAGGTAATGGGTAATGGGACAGCTCTACCACCTTGATTACTCTACTTCTCATTGCGATCAGGCGTAACGAAAGCGGTCAGAACAACTGTTAAGCCAATCAAAGTAATGCCGCAGGCGTAGGTGACTCACGAGTGGCTGTAACACCCGGATAACACAGCGTCAGGGATTGCCTAGAAGCTGATGTCACACATGGGCAGCTTTATTAAGGTATCCAGTGACTTGAAAAGCCAGGCATTGGCGCATGGCCAATACATTGAGAAGCCAAATATGGCTCCCAATTTGCCATACCATTCTCCCCCGTTGCACCGCATATAACCTGTTCTTCATCTATGCAAGCATACATTGTATTGCATGCCAGCTTCTTGACTAGATATACAAATAGAATCACACCAACAGCAGAAAATCTACTGCAGTAACAAGGTTTGATTGCCATAAGGGAGGTTTTGGCAAGTACCCATGTTGATTATTAATTTTCTATGTTGTCCTTTTGGTTGTACTGTTCACGATTAGATGCTGGATCAAGGCGGATGCTGCTTTCTTTGGAAGTTTGGTTGCACCTCTGGCCGTCTCCCTTCTCTACAACGCGGGTGTTCTCATTGCTGTCGTCCATTCACTTCGCTCTCGAAACAAAAAGATTGGAGCGGTGAAGGCAGCGAAGTCAAAGGATGTGTCTGTGCTCAGAATTATCGTGTCATTGTCCGTTCTTCTCGGAATCACCTGGTTCTTTGGTTTTTTGGTTCTTTTTCGTGATCAGATCGTCTTTCAGTATATCTTCACGGTTCTAAATTCTCTGCAAGGTTTTTCTATTTTCCTCCACACAATCAGAGGACAGGACGCAAAAAAGCATATTTCAGAAATGTTTTCTTCGACGAAGGGCGCCACAAACACCCAAAGCGGAAAGCCAGCATCCCGACCTAAGCACGTGGCCTCCGAAAACCTCGAAAATTTGGAAAAAGTGTCAGGGAGCCACGGTACAATGCTTTCAACACTCGACCGATCTACAGGGGAGGTGAGTACAATGGCCACCCAGGATCGAGCGACGCGTAGTGGAACTCTTCTTTCAGATGTGTCCCGCATGGCAGCTGAGAACAGCCTTTACACACCATCACCTACAAGCGAGCGAAGATGCCTTTTATCACTCGACGCTCACCCGCCTGCGTCTGAGAGCATCCCAATGACAGATTTGGGGCAAGACAACAAGCAGCCTACCGCAGGTGACAGAAAGACTGTGAGCCTAGGAACGCTGGGGAAACCCTTCAAATTCGCGAAGTACCAAAGCCCAGATGCTGGTCTGCCACAGGCTTATGATGCCGTATTATCTCCACTATAAGCCCAGCGCTTATATTTTTAAACCAGTCCGGACCCCGGGCTTACATAGACTGGGCTTCTACAAGAGACTGGGCTTATAATTTTCCAGTATCCCAGTGGAGAATGAGCAGACTGCTCTGGTTGCTACATGCTCCCGTCACATGAAGGCATGCCTTCTCTAATTTTGTTGTCATTGCATTATTCAAAGACACTGTGTGCATTGTCCCCGATGATGACGTATGCAAAGCCATATGATATTATCTAGTTGCCTGCTCTGCTAAACATACGATTATAGTCCGAGCGTCTTACTCACTAGGTAAACTGCATTCATGCTTGTGTGGCTTGAATGAAATAATCTTCATTTTTCATTTGCAAGTTTATTGTTAGCACACGCATTCGTTATTGCTCTCTCTTTCATTGTTAAAATTCACAATTGTAAATTTCTCTGCTCTTGTTCTTAGTGTTATTTCTCTAAATTTCTTTAAATAGTTCAATTTTGTTTTCATTGTCCTTTAGTACAACGACGATTCATGATGACTGTTGTACGAAAACTTGTTTGAATCCATATTTTTTTCCCTACAGCATTTCTTCATATTTTCATCGTTTTATTGCACATTGCACATTGCACATTGTCTCCACAATTTTACATTGCATGACTAACGTGTACACAAATGTCGATTCAGCTTGTCTTATTGATGGCGGTTATTAATGTAAAAGTCTCTTTCTATTTTCCACACAAGATTTTATCTGTTTGGGTTTCTGCTTCTCTCCCTTTTTTTCAAGAATGCATTTGACCGGTTTTTCATACGAGCGTGGCACCCCTTTCTATTCCAGTGTCTGGCATTTGGACCAGTATTTTCATTTTATCTTCAGTACATTGTTTCGCGTATCCTAACTATTAAATTGGGATACCTGCGCTGCATTCGATATGCATTACTCTTCTAATATCAATTTGTCGTGGATTTACAATCCAGACGTTCCACTCAATGCAGTCAATACAGCACGGCGTAGTTGTTTAGAGGAGTGAACGAACGGCTACTTTCTTATTTAGCCTGGGCAATCAATAGCTGCATTGTACGTGTCCGCGCTTCATTAGCTGATTCATATCTCAAGTAGGTTCTCTCAGTCCTCATGGGGCTGCTACGAACAATAATAATGGCTCGTAAATCATTCTAACTACAGGTTGTGATAATGACATTCCAGGGAAGTAGCGCAACACAGGGTTCAACATTATTTGCCAGCTCAGAACAATGCTGTGAGTGTATGTATTCCATACTCTCCCCAGATCTCCGGGATCTGTTGAGTACGGAAAGGTGTCATACTCACCAGACACAACGGACAATGGGAAAATTCAAAATAGGTCTCTTTGCTTCACTAGTTCCCTCGCAAACCCACACTTACATTAGAAACAACCATTTGAGCGGAGGCCGGCATGGAAGCACGAACAAGAGAAAAGGAAACCCTTGACCTTATAAAGGCAAGAAGTGGGCAGAACTCCCTTCTCTTATCCGCGAGCATAGAGGCGACACGCTTGAAAAAAGCGGAGGTGGACTTGCAGTAGCCGCCGGAACCGCTGAACAGAATGGGAGAAAATGATGCATGTTCAACTTCCCGGACGAGTTCTTCGTATGCACACCTTTTCTCGGCCTCATGCTTCCGGTAGGTGGCCGTGATGGACTGCTGGCGGTTGGAGCGGGCGTGCGGGTTGAACATCCGGATGTCCAGTAGTGCCCGTTCGAAACGTCCACCCCAGACACCCGATGCGGCCACATCCAGACGGGCACCATCCTCGGAGATGGCGGGGCGGTGACGGAATGTCTTACCGGTTAGCGGCTGGAGATATGGCTCGACCTGGACATCACAAGGTACACACACCGTACACCACGCGCAAAATACGACGGAAACGCGGTTTCGGATCGTGGTGCATCCGGTGGGCGCATGAAGCCAGCGCATCTGCAAAGCAACAAGGCATGTTTAGCAATCTTGGAGAAATCACGTAGAGCGAAACCCAGCAGCGCTGATCTTTAGGTATGAAAATTACTTGCAGTTCCTACGTTATTTTCATACATATTTCCGTAGAGCGAAACATGGCAACAGTCAAGGTCCAAAATAAAGTGTTCAGTTGACTCTGAAGGATCCGACGGATCGGAAATCTGGATCCCGATCCAGATCGTTACCAATCGAACATGCCCTAGGCAATGACTGCAAACACATAAGTTCCGTACTGCAGAACATTTCGCCGCTCGAAAACGACGTATAAAAAATCCGTAGCACCTCTAAGGATTTTGACAGGAAAAATCGTACCCGGAACCTCTCTATTGATAATAATAAAATAATAATAAAACGATACTGTGAACTGTGCACCTGACTGAAATTCTTGAGAAACATGTTTTAATTAAGAGATCTTGGTCGCTGTTGCACCACGATCTGTTGCTATACAGCGGGCTTTCAGTCAGTGTGCCAAAAACACAAGAGCATGAAAAGAAGTGTGTGATCAAAAGCATGAGTTGGGGCATGGGCTTTATCGTACTAGGTTGGGAATGCTTCAAGTATCCTTTGATTGTGCATGCCATGAAGAACTTGTCTTTAGAACACTGCTCTGATAGCATAGTGGCCTGATGGAGGATAAACTTCAGTGCACGGGTCGAGAATAATCTACAGATCCGGTCAACCTAGTCCGGCCAAAAAATAAAATAAAAAAAAATAAAAAAAATAGGGTTGACCTACCCAATTCTTGAAAGACGGGAATTTTCGTCAATAATGTCCCCTTCTGTTGGAATAATCAGTCTATGATGTGTCCGTCACTCATACTTTATTTATAGCACTCCTGGTCCAGTACCCCATTATTTGCGCACCTACTGAAATCCTAGTGCTACAGCCCTGTTCCAACAGCCTAAGAAACCCTCACTCCAATGAATGCACGAACATGCACAGCTTTACTCCGCAGCCGTGGTCCTGAGCATGCCCTGAGCAACCCAACACAGACATAGCCTCTGGCTGAAGGACAGGCACAGTCCTATAATATCCAGTGATTTCATCAATTCCACTGATCCATTCCACGGATCAAATTCCACTGGCGTTCAACAGATGAAAGTCACGAGAAAACGTTATGGAACTTGACTCTTTATTTTTTTTTAAATGCTGTAGTTATGAGTGCACAATTGAGCTTATCCAGTGCCATTTTACGACTATTATCTTCTCTTAGATGATTTCATCAATATGCACAGACTCAGTAAGGTGTCATACTGTAAAACCTGGTTTAAGCGACCACCCCACGGTGCAAGCAAAAGCGGTCATTAAAGCGAGGTGGTCTTTAGAACCAGGTCCCACAGAGTATGTGTAGAACTGTCCGTGCAAGAGAAAACGGTTGTTAAGAGCATGCAGGTGGTCGCTAAACACAGAGGTTGCTTACACCAGGTTTTACTCTATGTACCAGTACGTGTATACCATGGTATACAACACCTGCCACCCTCCCCGATGTGGCCGCAACTATCCCGGTATCCAGGGTGGTACTAGGCACCCAAACGTGCATGTGTCAAGTGCTTCACAGCTACATGTACATGTACATTGGTATACATGTTCATACCATACTTAGGCATGCTATACCTAGGCATTCTATACCTAGGCATGCCATACCTAAGCATGCCATACCTAGGCATACCATACCTAGGCATGCCTAGGTATGGCATGCCTAGGTATGGCATGCCTAGATGTGGCATTGTCCCGATCTCGGGTTTGCAACGGTTGGCAGATACGGTGTGTCCATGTGTGTCATGATGATGTCCAGTGATGTCATGGTACCCAGACAAAGATACCCAACGCATTATTACTATACTATTCCTGTTTGTATTCACGCCGGGAAGATCACCTGTTCCCTTCGCATCACGTCAACAGGTCGCCAAGCTGTCGCCAGAACTGCTCTCGGCTTCAGCGGCCGTGCCGGTTTCCTGCAAGTCATCATTATCTCCGCTGAAGCCGCTAGTGCGGTCGCTGGGGGTCATGCACACACACACACATACTCACTCACACACACACACACACACACACACACACACACACACACACACACACTCACTCACACACACACACACACACACACGCACGCATGCGAACACACACACGCACATACAAACACACACACACTCACTCACACACACACACACACACACACACACACACGCACGCATGCAAACACACACACGCACATACAAACACACACGCACGCACGCACACACACACACCTCAGACCTCAGACCTGCCCATCGCGGAAGCGATGATAGCGAACAGCTATGTTAGACATAGCAACTTGTGCTGGGATTACACCATTCAACAGCTTGCAAGGCTGATGAATTGACCGCCACTATATTTAGCCTGGTATCCACCACACAGCTGATTGAAGTGACTTTTTCTGGCCAGTGAATCCCTATTTTTCATTTTTCCATTTTTTTCTTTTTTCTTTTTTTTCTACACACACACACCACACCACATACTCCGGCATACACTGGCTGTTGGTAACCACCCAGGAGAATGAAAGAAAAGTCAGGAAGAGACCGAGAAAGAGAAGAAAGACGTGTGCGACCATAATCGTCGGGAATTGAACCCGCAACCTCTCGATGGGAAATCGACTGCACATACCACTGCACCATATGGGACACACAACCAGGCACACACACACACACACACATACATGCACGCGCACACACACACACACACACACACACACATACAAACACACACACACGAACACACACACACATACACACACACACACACACACACGCACACGCACACCTAGTATCATGAAAGACTATTAATCCACTCACATCTGGTTGTGGCACGTGTGGTATCTCTCCTGCAAGGCTGAAGCTCTGTGGGCTCTCACTTTGGCTGGGATCTCCTGCCGTTGTTGAAAATGCTGTCATGTGAATGAAGTCAAGAGCCTTCCATTCAGCGCAGAGAAGATACCATGCAAGAAAAAAAGAGCACAGAATACTTGTGTAACCTACATGGAGACAGCAGTTTAATTATAGCAATGAACAGAATGAACTGTGCACTCATTCTAAACACACACATTAAGAGAGAAAGGGGATGGTTTAGTTCCATCTTTTCCTTGAGGTGTGTTTAGAACGAGTGCGCCGTTCGTCCTTTTCATTGTTATGAATACATTGGTCTCAATGTGCAGTGAACACTATGTCGATTAAATGGGGCTAGCGGCACTTCCAGTCAAAATTTCACATTCAAAATCTCACAAGAACTATATTAATAAAATTGATGGCCAAATATGGATGTAGATGCATAATTCACACAAAAAATAGTCCATTTTGGTCATTACAATTATGATGATGATGATCTGAAAAGTGATGGAATGGATATGCCGCGTTTTGCATCTAAACTCTTGCCTTGTACAGCACCCTACAGAGAGTACAGTAATAGATCTGGTAAAAAAAAGTTGATTGTAAACGACCAAGCATGGGACTCTGGCTAGCTAAGCAAGCACCATGGAGAAGTAACAATTTCAAACGCCTTTCAAAAGCTATGAGTTCTCTCTCTCTCTCTTTCTTTCTCTCTCTCTCTCTCTCTCTCTCTCTCTATCTATCTATCTATCTATCTATCTATCTACCTATCTATCTATCTATCTATCTATCTATCTATCTATCTGTCTCTCTATCTCTCTATCTATCTCTATCTAGTTATCTCTCTTGTTTTCCCCACTCCCCTCGTTCTCTCTCCTGTGTCACTTCTGGGTACCCTACGGTATTAATTTGTACTATTTAAGTGTGCTATTTTAGAGAACTCTGCATGCATGTTCTTGCTCTTGTCGAAATATTTCGACTGACTTTTAACAAAATTAATTATATCGGGAAAATCAAATTTCCATGGGAACGGTCTCTTTAACACTGGAGAATGCCCCTTCTGTAAATCCACTGCATTGCATATGAATAGGTTCTTTCCAGTGTATGCTTGTAAATGTACTCACGTTGATTTCCTGCTCCGGATCGGCCATTTTGCCCGCCTCCGCCCGTTGGGAGTGGTCGGCGAGGTGAAAGTGCTCGTCTTCCCTGGGCTTGAGCTGCACGCTGGCACTGGCAGTGGAACGCACACCGGCCGCAGTGCTGTCACCGCGCTCGGCTGATTTCGTGGTGTCG